GCGTAGTTATAGGTTGTAGGGCAGTATGCAACAATCTGTTGAAGATGCAGTGTGTCATTTGCAAAAAGAGTGTATCATATAATGATAAAAATATTACAAAAAAATCCACGGATACAAGGCCTGCTCTCGTTATTATCAGCAGCGGAAAGAAGAATCAAGAAATGATATTTGTGTAGAATGTAGAAAAAGTTACACCAGCATGCACAATATTCAAATATTGCCGAATTTCACTGGTTGTCAGAAAAATACAGAAGCGGGACCATCAACTCGGAATGCAAATGTCATTTTTGATATTGGAAGAATGTGTATCATTTGTGATAGGGGCGGAAAGAGGAAACATCAGAAATTAGTATCTGTTCAAACAGGTACCTATGTGAAAATGTTTTCGAATTATAAGGACATTCGATAATATTTCATTGAGATCTCAATATCATTGAAGATTGAAAGAATAAGGATAATATCATTATTCAATAATATTATATATTTTGAACAATCTCGAAATAATTTTCATTTGAAATTAACGAACTTTAGAAATCTCATTATTCATTTGCCATATCAAAAAAAGCATACTATGAGTAGAATATCAATTATTATGAACTGATCTGAATGTCAATCATTCGGGAAATGAGTATACATCATGTCGTGACGATTTGACTAAAAATATAGATATAAATAGGACATGTTTTATTTTTGAATTATAATGTGTAGAAATATTCAAACCCAAAATTACGAATTAGGATGAATACAAAATTATGATTTATAGTTGATTTTATTTAACGATAGCATGATTTTATTTAACGATAGCCATTTTAATAAATGCTATCGAATTATAGGAACTGAAAAGAAAAGTTTTGATAAAATAGTTGACTCAGCAAAGAAACGGAACGATATAAATATGATTGGGAAAATTTCTGGATATTTGCTCATGATGCAAAAAGTATCACAAGTCTTGTTACAGTCAATATATTGCCCCAAGGAATATTAAATCATTTATAAATCTGTCGAAACAGAAAAAACATCATCAATTATATCACCAAGACATTCAAGGAAATAGTGAAGAAAATTTCGCAGAACAATTTAAGTCATCAGGATCCAGTAGCTCCAAAGAAGAATCCGAATTTTTCAACGATTCAAACGTAGAATCCGAAATGCAAATTCTTTATAAAGCTGCAGGAATAATAAAAAAACACATGGCAGAATTTCCGATACCTAACACATTTCCAATCAATTATTTCTAGATGTATATATCAATTGAAAATATGGTATTCATCCCTTTTACCATATATCCCTACTGAAAATCCGGAAAATTTTTGTTGGAAACACGAAAACGATTGTTGGAAGCCTGTTTTTACTAAGCAGGAACCTATTCCAAATTCTGTAAGAAAAATCCTGGCCATTCATTTTGCCGATAAAAACTGCACAAATAATAAGTGTATATGCATGAAAGAAGGGTTGAAATGTTCTAGTGAATGTAAATGTAGAGACTGCCAAAATACATTCAGGGATCCAGTTGAGCCAGAATCAGGAAATGAAGAAGAATACTAAAATGAATATCATTTTTTGTTTGATAGTTTGGTTTAAACTCGATTATATTTTGTAACTTATGAAATCGTCCAATTATCCATTATGAAAAATATGAATGCAGTATTATTTTCCTCTATACTTGCATCATTGACCTTGAAACCATCATAAGAACAATTTCTCAACATAACCACAGTAGAGAGCTTACATAGCACATAGCACTGATGGAGCGGGTATTGGGAGTAGGCACTGGTATTGCGCTGAGCGCGAACAGTTACCGGAGGCGCGGAATTAGCATGTTTTTAAAAAATCATACCTTCAAAACTATTTCATATGTATCGAATTTTTTTAATCTAAAAACTTTTTCGACTCATTATCTCAATTTCCTTCGCTGATTGTATATAAAGAATTCGAATAATAAAAAAGTTTTTCGATCAGTGAAAATTTCATCTCACGGTTTTCACTATTTCATATTCTCAACTTATTCAGAAAAAAACCCGATTTCATTACATCATTCTATTGGCATGATGAGAAGCGCTAGATTATCTTCTTTCGATCAAACGAAAAAGCAAATCAATATCTCGAGTAGTTCTCGAAATATTGAATAATATGTTTAGAAAAACACGATTCTCGAATATCCAACTTTTTTCGTATTTTTTTGAATAAAAAAGTTCGTCCCCACAGAAAAATGTCGTCTAGCTGGACTATGATGGAAAATCACATAAGGAACATTATCTAATAGGTCCGATTTGGTTATACCTCGAAAAAAAAAAACGACACATTTTATCCCCGATTTTACTCCTCTAGCAGTACATCCTAATGTGGTTGAGACTGCCAGGTTTCTCGATTGTTATCGAAGATAGAACCTTGCGGTTTTCATGTTCCTGTCCTACTTTTTTATGAAACAAAAGATGGTCAAATCAGATTTTACATAATTGTTTCCGTTGATGAGATGAGAAATTCATACTCTTTGGACTCCTTTCATATGAATATACGAAGTTATTAGAATAAATAATGTTCTGCGCTATACAAGTAATTTCGAGTAGAATCCTACGAAGGTGTAGAGAGGCCATCAACATGTTGTCATTCGAATTCTGAGTTGTTTAAATTGCAAATTTTTCATAATTTCCTAGCCCCAGGCTTGAATACTATCCCCCATACCCATGATATACATTAACAATACACTATTCTCCAGGAATTGTAAATCCGGCCAGTTCTTAACATGCCTGGTTTTCTAGTAGTTAGGGGGTGGTTATTGACATACTCAGGTTCAATAAAAAGACATTAGTTCAAATTCTACGTAAGTATACTCTATTAAGAAAAAATAAATGATAACAATAAACTGCTCAGTGAGCGAAACAATGGAGAAAATCTTTGAAGTTTTCACCTTAATTGAATTAACTCTATGAACACAACTCTGAGAAATAGGTATTTCTCCTTAATTAAATTATGGGAACTCAAAACTCTGGCATTTGTGAACTCGCTTTACTAGTCCTTTCAACTGAAACCCTGACTTTGAATTCATCCCCAAATGAATCCTATTTCAGTTTTAAACCCTGATGAATATGAATTCCTTCATTATTCCGTTAAGAAAACCTTGGAAAAGTGTAAAATTAAGGGAACTGACTTCCTATGCCTTTCTGATTCCGCTAATAAAACTTTTATATACACCTATAAAAGAAACCTAACTTTAAATGCAGTCCTAGTTCCGTTTCGAAACTACAAAAATATAGAATGAAACGTATGAATGCCATCGAAAGGATATTGAAATTGCTAAAGATCATTCTGAACGGTAGGTCCCACCCGAATCCGTTTTCGGGCTTGTGTCAAAAACTACTCTCACCTTCGTTGTGAGACTAGTTTCTTTAACTATAGCATGATGAGGAAGATAACAACGAATAGCTTCAGATGAACCTTGCTCTTCGATTCTGGGCATATGCCCAGTTTCGCATACCCATTCATGAACTCTCTGTAGTGATTTCGTAGCTTAGTATTTCTCTTAAATTTTTGTTCTATTGAACGAAATCTATCCAAGGCAATTTTTCGAGATTCGCATAGTTGCGAAATATTTTCCTTCAAAGGGATGGTTACAACAAAAAGGCCTTGATCGTTTCGTTCAAAATGTTTTGTTATATGATCTTCACATTAACGCTCTCTATCTGACAGTATTTGTTTGTTAATAGAGCAATTCTCTATCTCCCAAAAGGTCTCAACATTCTTGTTCAACGTTTCTATAGTAAAAAATGTGCTATAATTAATTGAATTGTGATTCATAACAATTTATGTTTCCGCCTATAATTTAACCGAGATGTGTGAGCTGTAACTTTGGCATATTTTCACCAAATGGTTTATTATCATCCCGCAAAAAATCCTAATAAATATTTGAACCCAGGAAAAGTTTAATATTACCACGTATATTGAATGTGGGATCCGCCCAGGAATTCCCAGACACGTCTAGTCAAATGAGACCTCAGGTAACTCTTCCGTGATTTTAGGTAAAATTAAAGTATGAATTAGATTTTTGTTTGATATTGTACGTTAGATACAGATTCATTTATGCTCGAGATTTTATATTGTCATTGTCTCCTATTCAAGCCAAGTTTTTTGCAATAATTCATATAGTAATGATTGAACTTTGTGATCCGTTATCTAATAACGCTCTGCAAGTGTGTGCCTTGCATTTTTTTATCATTTATCTGCAATAATGCAGTGGAACTACTTGAGATAAATCGTTCCTGATGATTTGTATCGATCCTAAGTTTCTATTCGAGTATTCGTGTTTTGATTTGCCATCGTATTCGCATTGTTTTCTGTGTTCAGATGTAACGTATGATGCCTTCTACCACATTTGAAACACCCTACTCAAAGACAATCTTTCACTAAATGATTTTACCGCAAACAGTTCAAGCATGCACCGCACATAATTCTGTAGATAGTGAAGTCCATCTCAACTATCTTCAGATTGCATCAACATTTTGTATAATAATGAACTGATGAGGTTTGAAAAGCATTTAAAAACTATTTGTCTAACAACCAATGTGACCTTGGTGACCGCGAATATAGAATTTTTCAATTATTGACGTTTTATCACTTCTGTTTTGAACATCAGAAGACATTCCATCAACTCTCGATTTTTTTTTTCGTTTTTGCATTCACGGGATCGTCTTACCCACAAAAACAGCTTTTCCTGGTCAAAATCGTTTCAAGATCCCAGAAATTTTGTTCTTCAAGAGTTTTATTTCGGAGTTTCCAAAATATGCAATTGCAGAGAGCCAATAATTCAACAAAATCACATTTCTCATATTATAATTCGGTTTCATGTCAGCCTATTGGATATGACACTGTGCATTTGGATAGATTCACCACTTCCGGTAATGATATCCTACTACGAAATGTCTTCTCCCTACATTGCTTCCAAATATCTTGAAGCAAACCAATTTCACTAGCTGAATATGAGGTTATAATAATAAAAACAGTCGTATTATCAAAATTTATATTTGAACATACTATTAGTCCTTAACAAATAAATTTAAAAAAGAACAGTAAAAATACAGCCTATCTATAACTAGGCTATATATTTGTAGGAACACCATCATCTTCATTATCAGTCTTGACTGCGTGAGTTTTCATGTGGTGTTGTAGTCCGTCCCTCCTATTGAAAGTACTTTCGCATATCGTGCAGTTGAAACTCTTGTTGATATCATGGATCCGCATGTGTCTCATCATCTTATCCTTTCTTCCGAAGCTCTTAGTGCATCGAGGACACTTGTAAGGTTTCATTCCTGAGTGGGTGATGATATGTCGGTCGAGTTCCCGCTTCCTGATGAACGATTTGCTGCATATGTGACAGCTGAAAGGTCTTTTCTTGTCGGAGTGCGTCGCTTGGTGCGTCAACAGATTTTCTGCTTTCGAGAACCTCTTGGAGCACTGGCTACATTTGAAAGGTTTAACTTTGGATTCAGCGGGTTTTTTGCTGATACCAATTTCCATTGTGGCCTCCAGTTGTTCATCGATAGCTTCACCCTCTAAGGAAGTGTCGTGCTCGTTCAGGGGTTCGGTTTCGGAGTTTTCGCCTCGTTGAGGGGTGGGGAAATTATTGTGGCTGAAGGGGTCTAGGTTGATAACCATATTTTCTGAAATATAAAATAAAATTGAACATTAAGGGTAAGATCGATTGAACATACCAATATGATGAGTACGAAAATGTATAGACCTCTTCTGCTATTAACTGACACATCAAGGGTAATACTAAAAAATAACCAACCGATTTGCTGAAAATTTCTGAAATACCACCAAGAGAGGATTGACCTGAGCCTTAGATCATAGATGATCTAAGGTCTTGATGAAACCAGAAAACGGTCTGAACCCTCAAATGGAAAACCCTGTATATCTTTACATATTCAAGTTCAGCAGGTTAAAGAAGTACAATCTTCATTTCAAATGTGATTTTTTCGAAAAAATTTGAATTGAAATTATTTTTTATCACAGAGAAACTTACATTTTTCACAATAAGTTGACAAGATGCAGAAATATTGTTTTCCACCGAAATACAAAAATAATATGTAATTTTTTTATCTTAATGTATGTTCTAGAGACACATGTTATGTGTCTGCATTTATGCATCGATAAGTGACACAAAAACTAATTTTTCAGAAAAAATGTTTCTCTCATTGTGGATAGCCTCAAGCACATCTGATTTACCTATCCACGATCTTAAATAAAAAAACAATTTCAATTTGACTTTTTTCGAAGAAATTACATTTGACATAAAGCACTTGTTGTGACCTGTTAAACTCAAATATGTAAAAATATACAGGGTGTTCCATTTGAAAAACAAAGTTGCTGGCATTTCTAGAAAAACCGGCAGTTCGCCATATTGGATTGTGATGTGATCAAATCCGAAATGTTTAATTATATAACTGTACCAAATTTCAGAAAAATCCGTTCACGAATGCAATAGTTACAGTGGTAACCCGATATACCATGTGTCACCCGGTATATAGTCATCGAGTATAAATTTACCTTGCTTATCATCATCACCTTCTTCAGTCTTCTGGTCACCGTTCGCGTGCGAATAGATCGACAAAGTCTCCCTCATCATCTGCAACTCCTGAGACTTGTCCTCGCGATTCTCCTGCGGAAAGTGCCTCTTCTCGTGCCTCTGCAGCTTGTCCTTTCTCCGGAAATTCAGGTGGCAATAGCTGCAGCTGAACGACTTCTGCACCGAGTGGATGACCGCGTGCTTGCCGAGGTCCGCCTTGTTGGTGAACGTTCTAGGGCACTTGGGGCAGACGAACGGCTTGGTACCTGAGTGTAGAGTTCTTTAATATACTTGACACTATTGCTTTGACGTTTTTGTATATCTAATGTACGGACACTTGACAAGCAGTGACAGTCAGACATAACCACAAACGATTTTGGAGGATATCATATGTTTTGCCAAATAAGGACAAGAAAAGGTATGTTTTTGTCTTAGATAAAGGCTCTTCGCATCTTCCTCCCTCTACATGTTCAGGGAAGAGTACGTCAACTTTTCTAAATCTGACGGAAGTTTTGAAATGTCTTAAAATATTACGTAACTGCTGATGACATGTACATTTCAACACCAGTTACGTAATAAAAATTAATATGGTTGGACGAAGAGAATAGTATATTTTGTGCTGCTTCCTCGATATCATTTGGGAAATCTGAACTTGAATAGTAATGAAGATATCAAACGTCTATTTCGTGAATTTCGTCGCTGATTTTTGACCGTATTATTGTTTGACAGATACTTGAAAGTGACGGGCGAAGTCAATAACTTGCCTACTAAATTATGTACATAATACAGCAACACTTGTCTACTTTTCCGCAAGATCTCCATGGACATCGTTGGCCTGCCTTCGTCGTAAGTACTTAGTTTCCTATCAACTGTATAAGGAAACAAACACATTTTCTTTTGTAAGAGCACTTTTTAATCAATACTCTCAAAATTTCCTATTATATCATCAACAAAAAGCTCAAATCAAATTTTATATTGATTAAGAATTCCGAAATTCATGATCATCACACTAGACAATATAACTTGTTTCATCTTGAAGCTGCAAATTCTAAACTTGGACAAAAAGAGTTTACACATGAGGCGATTTCGAAATTCAATGAATTACCAGATGATATCAAAAACAGCCCAAATATTATACAATTCAAAAATGAAGTGAAGAAATATATTTATATGCAAAGGATTGATCAAAGCTGAAATACTATGAATTTCCTCCCTTTTTTTGCACTGTTTTTTTCCGCCTTCTTGTTCACTATAGTATGACTGTTATTTTGAGATATCTCAATGATATGTAAGTTTTGTTCACTAATTGTAATTTCAATTATACAACAGTCGATAATACTTCATGAATAATCTTATACCAGGAATTACTGTCTGATCATTCATGTCATTCCTACTAGAAAATTAATTATACTTTATATATTATTTGTATGAAATGTATCGATAAAGAAGAGAATGTAATGCAATAACTACTGAAAAAAAAACGCAGTATGGAGAGTACTATCGTCTGCAAAGCTGTGGATGCTCCGAATGGATCGTAGGAACAATGTTGGTGCCAAAATTGATCCTTGTGGAAAGCCGGAATTGATGGCATTGGTATCAGACGATACTCCGTCCATCGTCCATCCACCACATGGAGCGATCTGCCTGAAAGAAAACTCGAAAAAAGATGACATATATCTGAGGTGGTAAGCCCTATGATGGTAGCTTGTGGAGTAGTCCTTGGTGCCAAACACGGTCGAATGTTAAAGATTCCCCATGCTTTTCTGATGGAGTTTTCTACATTATCAACATTTGAACCTTTAGAAAAGTATTGCATTTTTTGGCCATTCCGTCTCCGTCTATAATGTCGCTACTCTATCAGCTGTATAGTCACTCTAGTTATAGCTACCTGAGTGCAGCCGCATATGCTTGGAGAGGTTGGTGTTGCGGGAGAAGGACTTGCCGCATACGGTGCAAGTGAACGGCTTGACTCCGGTGTGCACGATGGTGTGCTTCCTCAAATCCGACCTGCGTGCGAACGTTCTGTCACACTGCGGGCAGTTGTACGGCTTGTCGTTCTTGTGGATGCTTTTCAGGTGCGCTGAGTACACCACCCTGTCGGCGAAGCCCATGGCGCAGGAGTGACAGTTGTAGGGCGTAGCCGAGTCGTGGGCGGCCGTTTCGTGGGCGAGACACTCGGCCGAGTCGGTGAACGCGTGGTCGCAGTACTTGCACATGAAGACACCCCGGCTTTCGGGCTCCAAGTCGTTGGATTCGCCGTTTTCTATGTCGCTGGGGGGTTCCTTGTCCGAGTCGTAGTCGGATTCGTAGTCGTAGGATAGGGGGTCGACGACCATGACCACGTTTTCGTCATGACCTGAAGATGATTAAGTGCATGTTCGTGATTTAGTTTCAGAATATTTATTAATGATAAATCAACTCCTCCACAGATAACGCCATTTGATGATGACGTGAGTCATTTTGACATCGATAAAACAGGATGCGCCTTTTTTATCGCTGTAAAAATGCCAGTTCCTCAAAACCATACTTCATCTAGTATGCGACCGTCCCAATTTCTGTCGTGTCAGATTGTTGGGTATTCTTCACACGAAAATTCGTAAGATTAACCGTTTTGGGAAAATTTCGTATGAAAAACTACAATAAATATAAAAAAATCTATTCTGCAAACTACAAATAAACAAAGAATCATCAATGGAGGAAATTATTATTGTTGTTTATATACATATTGACGTTGATTCATCTTGCCAAAAAAACTTGAACTTTTTTTGCATTGAATGAATCTCCTTTACTAACTCAAAAATTTACATCAGTAATTTCACTCGAAAAACTGATGAATGTTTTCGTTAGCATGAGAAATTTATCCAATAAAAAATAGTACATTATACATCAGGGGCAGAAATCCAAGATTTTTTCCAAGGTGCGATTTGTAGCTCGAGGGCGAAGCCCGAGAGATACTACTAAGCACCGAGATAAAAATAGCATTCTGTCCTGAGGTGTATATACTATTTTTTACGCTAGCGAAAACACAAAAATCAAGAAAGAATAAAAATTTGGTCAGTGTTTGTCATAATCAGTAGTAGTATAGTATGTGGAATTCGTATCTTGACAACATGCCTTGTTGACAACCCATGGTGACAGCAAATATCGAACTGAAATTAATGAAAACAGCTCCAATGGTTATGGAACAAGAAATCGAGGAGAGGCCCCAAAAAACTATTGATACTGCTTCTGCAGTGATTCTTGACTTGCTTCCAGTGAGACCTAGAAATCTGTGTGATGCAGCTTATACTCGCTTCAGAAAAGGGTGTTCCGAAAAAAAAGCACAGAGCTATGCGGAAAATGTAAAGTTGGTATAAACTCCCTAGGGAGAAAATATCACATTATCTACCTATAGGGAATAATACGAGACTTCTGTCCCTCTTTTGTTACCAGAGAAACTAACTTCTACCGCCGGCGTAAAAAAGCTCTTGTAGTTGACTATATGCTGTTTCATATTTCATGTCACTTTTTATTGACATCACTGGAGAAATCTGTGTACCGATTTATGTCAGAAAAATCCAAAATCGACGTTTCACCTCCAATAATATTATTCACTTTTGTACCAAATTGTTTAGTTTTTGCTACCCATCAGGTACATGACTTCATTATATATCCACCTTGACCTACATGAAATTACCAGAATTTTATTTCTCTATACAGGGTGTTTCCGAAACTGGAGGAGAAACCAGTTGACATCATAAAACGAAAAAACAAAATGAACTGATAGTAAATTTTAATTGAAATGAAATCATTTCAGAAGATTTTGAATCATAAGTTTGCCTAGAATGTTTGATGATCCAAGGGTTTGATGGACAAACCCGAGCGTTTGCTTTCGGCGAAGTCCGTATTTGTATTCAAGCACCAAGAGTATTAAAGACTTTCGCAATGATTCCGGACGTGCAATAAAAGTGGAAATATGTGGTATGCTGAGAGCATATATATTTTTCGAAATATTTTCAAAACCATTTTTCTTGCGATTTGATTTAATCATAAATGAATAATTATACAAATATAGTACCTGCGGGTCCCAATTGCTCATAAATCGGAAGCTGAAAATTGCCATTGGCTCCATCATTTTCCTTGTTGGCTGCTGCCAGTTGCCTGAGTGTGGCATCGGACATAAAACATAATTGGCGAAATTCGAGACAAAATTCTATCTTGTAGAGGCATCGGTGGCAAATCACATTTGGCAGACCATCTCCATGGGCAATCTGAAATAAAAATCACAAATGACATGAATTTTATAATGTGAACAGCCAGATAAGTATCATTTATACAGGGTGATCACTAATCACAGATCTAGTTTGAAAATCGAACATAGAATTGTTATACTTTTTAAAGAAAATTCCTTATTCCTACTTTTAAAAATTTGAAGTCATGAAGTGGACATGAAGGATTTATACAGGGTGTCCGGAAATTATGCGCAAAAAAGCAAGGGGGTGATTCTACATGATAAAATGAGAAATTCATTTTATATATACGTGGGTCCGGAAATGCATAGTTTTCAACATAAAACTTTTATTTCTTAATACATGTCTGACACACTCTGTATATTGAGAAATGTATTCTCGGTCCAGAAAGGCGTAGTTTTTGATAATACAAAGTGTGTCATGCAAACATGTATTATGAAATATTTGAAGAAAATGAATCTCCATTCTTAATCTATGTCTTGAGGACATGGATCACACATTTAATTTGACCCCTGTTTATGAAGCAATGTTTTTCACGAATTAATACAGTGAATTGTTTTTTTTTCCACGGAAACGAAGCAAAATAGCAAAACAATTCGAGAGACCGAAATGTTGTATTTTCAGTTACTCATCAGGATATAAAGGTATAAAATTTGAAAAAATCTGTTTCTCTCGATAGATAGCAAGAGAAACAGGTACTCTGTTCCATCTTCTCTCATAAACCACCGAAGAAAGCAGTGGAAAGTGAAATTGTAATTATTTTATACCAAGCATTCCCTCAAGGGAATTGTTCTTTCGAATCAAAAATAAGGCCCCAGAAGCGCGTCAGAGAAATATTCGAATTTACCGCCATGAGGTCATAACAGAATGAAGCCGACAGCCATGGCTCCTTCCTGGTACGAGATCGTGTTGCGTTGACAGATTACAGTCATGACATGGACATGACACATGACACGAGAGCGAGAGATTATTGATAAACCAGGAAACTGCATTATCATTGATAAAAATCATACACGTTTTTGTAAAAAAATTGTGAAATTTTGGGGTGAAATATGAAATTGAAATATTAATAAGGTAAATATCCATTTTTGATCCCTTTGTTTATAGCAAACTGGTTGAATATCCCCTAGCAATAAATGTGCCAAATGTCATGAAAATAAATATGGCAACTCACCTGAAGCGCTGTACAATCAATAATTTTCTTATAAATACTCCTATCCTTTCCCTGTATGTGATTGAAAATGCCCAGCATGAAGCCGTCTTTCTGCAGACATAGTCGACAAATAGTTGCATAACTCCGCCAGGTCTCCATCGCCAAAAATCATCACACGCCACACGCGGACTTCTCTGAAATGCACTATAAACACAAGGCGACTACTGTTTACTTTTTGCGTGAATGAATATTTCTGGATATTGTCGAGTGTCTCGCTTCAATTTGTTGTTGACCGAGAACCTGGCAACGGAAATACGTGTCGTGGGGCACCAACGAAGTGCAACGCCGACTGAGGCCCGATTAGGGCGGGTGCACTAGACCTGCGCTAAAGCGGCCCCCTTCTTGGTACTCTTGACAGCTGTGTCGAATGGCGGTAGGTTCGAATTCGGACAATTCGTATGGGTACCTGTACCTGTGTGGCCAGAAAAAGGGGTCCTTCCCTTCGTGAAGGGAGACATTTTAGTAGACGAGAATCGGTTTATTGTCTATTCAGTTGTCTGTATAGAGACTTTCTGAGGTCCTCGTTTTTCGTATTGTTTAGAATGTGCCCCAAATTTGGTATGCATGATAAGTATTTGAGTTCGGCTCGGAGTTCGGTAATCATAATTCGATATACAGGGTGTGGATGAATAAATGCGAGAAGTATTAGAGGGAGATATACATTATTTATAAATTTGATGAAACAATATACAGGGTGTTTCATAATTGAATGTCAATATTCGAGGAGGCGATTCTTGATGGGCCCATTCTAAGAAGAAAGTTTCATATGAACGTATGACCTAAACGTGCTAACTTCTGAGGTACAGGGTAGGGTGGTAAAGTTCTTAAAAATTAATATTGTGCCGAGTATAATAAGTATTGCCTACTACAATGAAAAGTTATAATTCCAGAATACCAAATACCATAGATCTAAAATGAAAATACGAATACGAAGTTCATAAACTATGAATTGTATTTCTGAAATTCGATCTAAAAAATAAAATCTATTTCTCTGCCTTGTGATACTGTCATATAATAATCATGTAGTGAGAAGCTTTCTATTTTTTTAAGCGACAACTGTGCATCAGATTGAAAAAATTTTAGTGATCAAATTTGCTTAGAAATGATTTTCAATTTCGAGACTAATCAGTGGCGTACCATCAATGTCTGCCAAAATAGGTATGTGAAATTCCATACGAATGCCACTGGCGGCAACCAAAAAAAAAGTGGTACACTAACTGATGCCTCTTGATACATAATACATGTATGCCAAATTTCCTTGGAATATCTGAAGTGGTATTACAGATATTAATAAAAAAAATAATAGATATCCAAAATGTTGTAGAAGAAGGCTCTTTCAGTACAGTTCAGTTCAGGAGATAACATGTCTGGATCTGGATTAAAAAAAAAAACGATTGAGTCATTGACTGACAGAAAAAAAATTGAAAATAAATAACCTTTCACATAAAGAGATGACAACAATTTGATCAACTCCTTGCTACCAATTCGATCAATCTATTATTCTATAATTTCATCACATTTGGTGAGACAATTGATAATATTAAACGAGTATATGTATAGCTACTTCATGTGAAATATGCAGGATTATTCACGGTATTCGACACGAAACATTTTGGCTAAAGCATTAAAAGTTATTTTTCCAGGATGGATAGGTATCTATTAGCGCTACATTTTGAAAATATCATCATGTTGTACAGGGTGTACAATACACGAAATGTATCAAAGTTGCTATTTTTCTAATGTGATACCCTGTATATTATTGTATTTTCATATTGACATGAATAGCTCATTTCATCAATGCAACACATTTTATTAGGGTAGGTCTAGCGGAAATTATCACAGATATATTAAGAGTGTTCAGTTACGAGATTTTTCAACTTTAAGAATTTTTTGTGTCGAAACTATTCATTATCGGTAACAGCTCTCATGTCTCTATCAACTCTTGATTTACTATACTGATCTACTGATTTTTTATTTAAAACAGATAGGTACAGCGGGTGATCTGAATTCTGAATCTTGAACCACTTTGTATCTGTTCCAATTAAATGTCAGTAGGTAGTATATCAAAAAGTTGAGATGAGGGCATGTGAGCCGCTTCGACCAATAATGAATAGTTTCGGCACAAAACAATCCTAAAGTTAATCACTATGTAATCATTTCCTCTGGACCCCAAGTGTGATGAATTGATAAAACCAGCTCTTCAGGGAGACTCTGAAAATGCAATAAAATAAAGAGCATTCCATCTGAAAAATTACAACTTTGATACATTTCGTGTTTTTGGCACACCCTGTACAACAAGATAGTATTTTTGAAATGTAGCGCCGCTGATAGGTCCCTAGTCATCCGGAGAAAAAAACTTCTAAAAATTCGAATGCTTTAGCCACAATGCCTCGTGTCGTATAACGTGAATAACCCTGTATATAAGGTACTCACCCTTATAAATTTGATTCGTCCATTAGTTCCATTGCTTTCCAAGAAAGTTTCGACTTTTTTCCTAATTAGGTTTTCGCATTAGACTGGTCATGCATATTTGAAGGATTCGCTCAGTTTCGACATGTTGATATTGTTAAAAGTGAAATAATTCCTTTTTTCCTCTAGTAGCTTCAAAACAACTATTATTTACTCCTTTCTGAGGCGTAAAGTGTGTTTTTACTACCAAGGTAGTTTTCGCCATTTTATTAACTACTAGTCAATAATGACATACTAGTCACCTCTTTCATTGTTCTGATGCGAGGCTCTCAATAAATAATGGCACTCGAATCTAGTATGTATGTATTTATCAACAACGTCTTGTCATATGCTGTCATGGTTATGGCTACTAGATTTTAGTTGGAATTGAAGAGAAGTGCTTTCATTAGTGACGATAGGTTTATATTTCAGTATCACAGAACCAAAATGATTGAATTGTATTGCTAGTGGTGAATAAAATTTGATATACAGGGTGTTCCTTAATGATATGCTAATATTCAAGGGGCCGATTCTTCGACCCATTTCAAGAATAAAACTTCATATGATTGTATGTCGTAAACGTCCTAACTTTTGAGATACAGGGTGTCAATGTTGAAAATATGCATAGATTATTTTTTTGCCACCCTGTATAGCTTTTCGTGATGGCAAAATTCAGTCTGCTATGTGTATGAATCGGTATACAAATTTCAAAATGTTACATACTGTGATTATCTAGTAATGGATGTCCAGAATGAAGTACTAAGACAACATTTTAAGTCTGGTCTCGTTTTTCCGTTTTATCTCGAAAACGAAGCGTTCTATCGAGTATCAACAAGAGAATCTTTTTTGTACATAAATAAATAGCCTCTCATGACATTGTATGGAATTTGAAAATTATTTGTCGTTTTAAGTAAAATAAAAACAATAATATTCCCGTAACGGTGCCACTGGTAGAGAAAATGAATATTTTTGTACATCAAAAAATGTACCTTGATGCATAAAAGACGAGTACCAAATTTCATGTAGATGTATACAATATTGTCCCAGTTATTAGGAAAAAAACTGAATATTTTTCAATACTTCATCACCCTGTTTCTCAAAAGTTAATACTTTTAGGACATGCGTTCATAAGAAGTTTTCTTCTGAAAATGAGCCAAAGAATCACCCCCTCGAATATTATTAATGAAAACTGAAAAATGATGATAAGTAAAAGCAACATGATCATAATTTCACTGCTTGATTATAATTACATCAAAAGAAATTGTATAGAGCATGCTGATAAAATCAAATGAAAATATAAATGGAGTATATACTCACTCGTACATTCATTCATCCGGTAGGTATAACAAAAAATACAAATACACTCATTCAACATTCTTCGGAATAATCTGAAGGAAGTATGTTGTGAACGTTGTGAGAAGATTCATAAACATTTTGTGCTGTCTGGGTGGGTCAGTGGTCTTCCCATTGAAGGACTTCTCAAAACTTAACAGTTTATTCAATATAAATATACATATTCATAATTATTTACAATAACGGTCTGTTCCCCCTATTTTGATACTCGGGGATCGCACAACCGGTAACATTTTCGATGCCGTCGCAAGCATTGGTGAGATCGTTGAAGGCCCTGCCTTCCCCGCAGTTGTACAATCTCGGTTTGTTATCCACGCAAATGAAGTATCTTTGGCAATCTCTCGGCGACCTGAAGAATCTGAATTCTTCCTGGCCGAGGCCGAAGCTTCTGGCATCGGGAGGACAACGGAATCCCAAAAAGGCTGAAATAAAACCAAGTTTTCATTTGGACCAAGAGTTTACGATGATTATCCTTAACCCCTAAGTTTTATTAGAGAGTTGAAGTGTTGTCATGAACGTTAACGTAAACGTAGAAATTGACAGCTACGCATGCGCATTTTCCAATTCTTCACGTTTGCGTTGTTAGTGGGCTTACGGCATGCTTACGGGTGTACGTTATCTCACGTTCCTTCACGTATACCTTAAATATCAACGTACGTTAACCAAACTATACTCGAAATATGCCGATGAGTCAAAATTATCAAATTCGAGATCACCAACGAGTTCTGAATCAAGGAGTCTAATTTTGACAGGAATAAATGTTCGAATCTAAACACACAACCAAAAATGACCAATACAAAACGAAAACAAAATGTATTATTACGTTATGATGACAGTGACGACCAAAGTGGCGACTTCAACTCAATTTAACGACAATACGTAAACGTTATTTTTCGTACGTTAACGTCTACGTGGAGGTCTACGTACAGTGATTACTTCAACTCTATATTAACCCTTCACGTGCTGTGCAGGGTAGTTTCAGGAACCCAGTCGCAGTATTTTAGTAATATTTTGGATATTTGAATTTCTTGGCAACATTGCTTAGGGCCACCATAGACCTAAGTGTGTATTTAGATCTTAATTTAGATCTATGGGGCCACCATTGGAATATCGGAAACTATAGGCTATAGCAGTAGGACATACGAAGATGATTAAATTAGGGCAAAGTTGCGCATTCATATGACTATAAATATGCCGTAGGGACATTTGTTAAATTCCGAGTATTTCCGGAGATATACGAAAAAACTAAAATTCTGTTAATTCATTTTTATTTTTTTCTGGCGTTATTTGTTGAAGCATATCAAAATTTAAAGCACATTCAAATTGCCACTTTTCTCTGCTACAATGGCGTTTTCAGATTCACTATCCGACGTTTCGTCTTTACCTCGGTCTTTAATTAATTTTTTCTTTTGATTGAAAATGTAATATTATGATGAATCTGGAAATGTCATCGTATACAGCGTGTCTCAGTGTTTCAGAGACAGGCATCCTTTTGGCCACTGCCGTGTTTTCTTTTATGGAATTATATTAGGAATTTTTTTTGCAAGAAAACTAACTTCATTTGAACGTTCCACATGCTTTCAAACCTGATCTATATGCAAAAAATCATCTCATTCCAAATTTACAGGATTGGCTTTAGTTTTTTTTTTAATTTTCAGCCACAAAAAAATAGTAAATTCATAATAATTGCAAATTTTTGAACGTAACTAACAATTACCTTCGCAAAAATGCGATGTTTAGATGAGCCTATTATTTTAAAACCCTTTTTAGCTAAACATCATATGAAAATGTACAAGGGGTTTTGAAACCATGAAGATACGAAGTTGGTTGGTCTATGGGGTCAGTTTTCGTTTGAAGAAATTCTTAATATGATTTCATAAAAAATGTACCCCTTTTCACTTTGATAGAAATGCACTGTCTAAAATTATGTTTGTCTCTGGAAAAGTGACCATATTGATGGTTATTTATACCGGTCTCAATTTGGTGAAGATCGCAGGACTATACAGGGTTATTCATTGAGAATGGGAAATCTCTGAAGTACGAATAGTACACACCAAAATATGGAGATTTAACCGGTTTGACCCAATATGCTTTATAAGGGTAAATTTAATTTAAAATGTTTGCTCAAATTTCGTCGAACATTTACTTCAAATTCCGTATGTTGTTAGCGCTGTTAGTGATTGTCATCATTGATTAATTTCTTTTTTTCCAGTGTCAAATCAAAATTTTATAAGAGGAACATAAATCTCTTCAAGAGCGAATAACGCAACAACCGTTAGAGCTAGACAATTTGAAAAAGAAGACATTTTTTTATGTAAAATTGAACGAGCTTTCAGATTTTTTACTTATTTTGATTATCATTGAATGGACAAAGAAGATATGATGTTATTTACCGAAAAAACAGAGTGCCATTAGCGCCTTCTATGTGCAATCACAAAATAAGCTGCAAAATCGTATTCCTCATGTGAGAAAATCTGAAAACACAAGATTTTATGTTCATACTGCTAAAACTGACAAAGATATTGGGAAATTTCAAAATAAAGTCTCCTAGAACACCCTGTATCTCCTAAACCAGCAACATTCTTATCAGGCATCTTAGGCTAAATCTCAATATTTTAGTGTTCACTGTAATCTGTGGTTCAGAGATTTCCCATTCTCAATGAATCACCCTGTATATAATAGCTGAGATATAGAAGGGGGGCTGTTTGAAAAGAGACACTCTGCATAATAGGTAAAACGTATATGGCAATGTACCTAAATGTACTCTCAATTTTGAAAAACTTCAACAATTGACGCGAGAAAAGATAAAAATTTCTTATGTTCCCGAAAAGTCCAAAGATTAGTGAAAATTTGCTATTTTTTTCCATATACCTTTATTTCTTTTCTCCAAACCTTCTTCAATACAAATTGTCACTGACAAGCTAGTGAATTTTTCTTTTTTACTCTCTGATAGGAAAATTCTTTAAACGCAGTGACATTTTGGGGCAAATCATCTGATTTGTCCTCACTACACGTATATTGAAATCATTGAAATAATATTGAATTTGTATTCTATAGAGACGAGGAGAAAAAATCCCTAATAATCTGGAATAATAAAAGTTCGTTTATTATTCTTGATGAAGAACATAAATAAGATGTTCGAAAAATTGTTTGGTTAACTGAAAATTCGTTCCCACCCATCAAGGTCTCATCAAATATTTACCTACACCTAATGTATATAGATATAGCTTCGGAACTACTGAAAGAAAGCAATGTTCGTGTATATCACTAATAAAGCGACCTGTCTCTTCAAATCACGGTTGTAGAAAATAATCATTTACGTACTAAGATTCATCAATCTGTGTATTTGGAAGGATAAGAATCATTCACAGCACATTTCTCACCTTCAGAGTCACATGATGGAACCATATCGGGCCAGTCGCATCTGTAGGTGTCTGCATTGAAAGCTAGACCTTCAGGACAATCGAAAACAAAAGCCCTTCCGTCAACGCAGTTCTTGAATTGACCGCAATTTTGTGCGTCCCCCATTTGGTAGTATCCGAATTGGTGGGGGCAATCATCAGTTGATTGAGGGGGTTCTGGAATAAGAATTTTCATTCAATCACTAACAATAACAGTCAGACGAAGACAAAAAGGAGTTTTATGTTTGCAAAATCAACAGATTCTTGGAGATAGTTGTTCAGGGATTGTGGAATACTAACTGTAATTTCTTTATACAGGGTGTTCCTTAATGATATACTAATATTCAAGGGGCTGATTATTCGACCCATTTCAAGAATTAAACTTCATATGAACGTATCTCGTGAACGTTAACTTTTGAGATACAGGGTGTCAATGTTGAAAATATGCATCGATTCTTTTTTGTCCACCCTGTATCTTCTCGTGACTGCAAAAGTCAGACTGCTATGTGACTGAATCGGTATGAAAATTTCAAAATGTTACATACTGTGGTTATCCATAGTAATGGATGTCCTGAATGGACTACTCCAGACATCAAAATAAGAAGTCTGGTCTCGTTTTCCGTTTTTCCTTATAACGAAGAGTTCTATGCAGTATCAACAAAGAGATGTTTTTTGTTCATAATTGAATAGCCTCTCTCATAGCATTATACGAAATTTGAAAATTTTCCGTCGCTGCTCACTTTAAAGTAAAATATAAGCAATAATATTCCCGTAACGGTACCACTGGTAGAGAAAATGAAGATTTTTGTACATCAGAAAGTGCATCTTGTTGCATTAAAATACGTGTATCAAATTTCATAAAGATGTATACAATATTGTCTCAGTTATCACTGCGACGTTGACGCTTATATTGAAAAGTAGCAACAGCTTTGATCATTCGAATGGGAGACTCCATATATTATTCCATTTTCAGATTCTCCATAAAGAGCTGATTTCATCGATCTATTACACTTGGGGTCTAGCGTAAATGATAACAAAGATATAGGGCGTGGAAAATCGAGATTTTTCAACTTCAAGAATTTCTTGTGTCGAAACTATTCATAATTAGTCAAAACGGTTTTCATGTCCCTATCTCAACTTTCCATGTACTCACTATCAATTGATATTTAATTGAAATAGGTACAGGGTGATCAAGATTCAAGATTTTTCAACCAATTGATAGTAAATAAAAATTTGAGATAGGGACATGGAAACCGTTTTGACCAATTAGGAATAGTTTCGACATAAAATCTCGATTTTTCACACCCTATATCTCTGTAATTTTCACTGCTAGACCCCAAGTGATATGGGTCAATGAAATCAGCTCTTCAGGAAGAATCTGAAAATGGGATAATATACAGGGCGTCCCATTCAAAAAATGAAAGTTGTTGCTACCTTTCAATATAAGCGGCAGCATCGCAGCGTTGAGAATATTTCAGGCCGATAAAGCACAACTAATAAACCAAGGAACCAAATTTTCAGAATAATCCCAAGTTACGTTCTCCAGACACGTCCAATGTTCCTTCCATCGTAAATCAGCCTGTATAGAAAGCTGTGTTGGTATATTTATCAATCATAATTTTGTATTTTTATGCATGACCTGGCGTACCTAAAGTAGCACTTTACCGCCCGGTTTTGCAGGCGTGAAGTGGCACTTTACCACCCGGCTTATATAGGTCGTCACTCGTACAATACGGTACATTTTTGTTTCAGTTGTGATGGTTCCTCATCTAATATTGATATTACAGTTCTCTTGATATTTCTGAGATGCAAAATGATATGATCGAACCCAAAATTAGTTATCTGTGATGACATTAATTGACAGCAAATATGATAATCCACTCCAAATTCGATATCGTTCGGTCTCTTACTTACACGCCACGGTCCGTAAAGGCCTATTTTACGCCCTTGATACATATATAAGAATTATCCTACTTACGGGTTTGCTCTCTTCCTGTGCAATCTACGTCAATGGGATATTGACAAGGAAATGCGAATATTCCAGCGGCTGGGTTGAATAGCAGTCCATCTTGGCAAGTCTTTTCTTCTGCTATACCATCGATACATTCTATGTAACTGAAATGAATTGGAAATTGGAAATGTCTTCATTGTATACCATCATCTCGAGAATAACTTCCTCGGGATGATCTATGTGAGTTTGCGAAAATGAAATGGTAGGTACCATCAATCTATGTGCCCGAAAGTGCCTGAGCAAAGAACTGAGACTGATTAGTCAGGTAGCCATGCCTTACCTTCAGACCAAGAAAAAAACAAAATCAAAACGGTATTGAAGTTTGATGCGAACAGCAGTTCTGCACCAAAGAAGTTTTAGAAATACATTCTGAGAATTGAAAAAGATCGAACGGAACAAATAAAAATATCAAAAACTTGAGAAGAGTAAATTTGGTCATAATGTTGATATTTTCTCTAGTTTATGGACAATCTCGGTCTTTTGAACTTTGATTGATCACCTGGGTCATAATCACTTGCATTTCGATGAAGCTGATTCTCATGAACCTCAGCTTTTTCGAAAGTCTTGATGTTTCCTTCTCTAACGACGGACACGATTGGAGGGAGTTTCAGATCCCTGACGATCTGGTTATTCCGAACATACCAAGGAGTTCCTGTCGCCATTCTCGCTAGTTTGTTTTGTAATGTTTGTAATCTGGTGATATGAGATTTAGCTGTGTGGCATACAGTAAAATTGGCCAGATAGCTATGATGTAAATATTCATTTTTTGTCTCAAACCCAATTTACTTCGTCTGTTTAGAAATGGATACAGGGCTCCAATGGATCGTTTAGCTTTTGAAACTTGCCGTTCAATGTGCTTGGCCCATCAGGTGAGCTTTTTGTCAATGCACACACACCTGAGTATTCAACTTGTGAAGACCACTCTAACTCATTACCATTCAGTAATATTCTGGTTCTGGGGGTGTTTTTGCAGGATTCAATTTGATCTATCATCTTGGGAAGTACTCCTGAAGAGAAATCAGCGCGCATTGGAGGTTCATAGCTGCTTGCTCGAAATTTGTCGAACTGCCGTATCATCAGCAAAAAGCGACATCTTGCACATCGCTGGTCTCGGCAAATCGCTAGTATAAAAACTGTACAACAGCGGCGATAAAACTGCACCCTGAGGAACACCATCTTCAATGGGCTTGATACCAGATCGTTGATCATCAAGTTTCACTTGAAAAATTCGATTTTTCAGAAATGAACACATCAACTGAATCAAATTAAAAAAACTGGGAAATGACAATAAAATCACACTAATGTATGTGAGTTTCAGGTTTTTTATAGATACAGATATAGTATAGTATGTATTCTCACCCATCACATGTTGTGCTAGGAAACCTTCCATTTTTCTCTGGACAATTTGCACTAGAATGAGGTACTTGAGGAACATCCCTAACATAGTTGCTGGTCTGTCGGTTACTTTGTTGGTTATTTGGATGATAATTCTGACTGCAAACTGAAAATAATAAGGGTAGAAGAATGGTGATCAATTTAGTATTTTTTGTATCAATATTTATTTTGCATGTTGAAATTTCACAATGGGCGAACCCAGTATATACCTAATTAATTTGGACATTGTCAAACAAGCAATCTGTAGTCATCTTCTTGTTGAAATATTCGGACTACTTCATCGCCCAGCGTATAGGTAACTCGTAATAAGCATCCCTGTATAATTCAGGACATCTATATTTTAATTGTGATGTTTCATTATCTATTATTATTGCCCCCTTGATAATTCTGATATGCAAAATGATATGATCGAACCCAAAATAAGTTATCTGTGATGACATTAATTAACAGCCCGCTGTTCTAAAATTCCTAGAACTCTCAGCAGATTCTCGATTTCCAGCGGTATATCGTATATACATGTTGATCTTTTTCTTCATCTGACTCCATAATATCTTCGCTATCACTTCTCTTCTCTTAACCGGGCGTTGCGGTAGAAATTATTGTAACGAATTCTTTGGTAACGGTAATAATTGTGGTTGAAATTATTTAGCTGATATAATGTGTGAATCTTCGAAGTGACCTTCACTGATCGCTTTCACTCGATCTTTAAGTTGATAATTATAGTTATTTAATAGTTGGCCATTACCATGCACGTTACATTACTTTCTTCAATGGAAAAACCTATTCTGATATTTTAATGTGATTCATATTCGAAATATATTGTGTCGGTGATCAGTCATGAATGCTGCATGTTTCGTAAGCAACAAGTATGGGTATACGAAGGACTATTTCTCAATTTCGATCCATAGTGAGGATGGGTAACTGGGTTTCTCAAAATTATACCGACGAACTGTCAGGGGTGGTCGTGTAGCGGACATAAAAACAAAACAGATACCTATCAATTATAAATCGATGAAATAAATATCCATCTGTTGAGATTGAAATCGCTATTCCTTTTCTTCCAGGTGATATGTAAAGACGAATTATAAGAAAACCTATCTTATTCCTTAGGATACCAGAAGATTTTATTTAAAATGCCTTTTTAAGACGCCATCAGTGTTGAAAGTAACTCACTTTCAACACTTATTACTTGCAACAGCCAACAGAAACAAATATGAAGAAATCTCTAGGTGCGAGTACTTTTTGGATAAAATATATACACTTACTGAAAAAAAAAAAACGGTCCGAGAAAATTTTAGCCAAATTGATCACCCAGTTACTTTTTTAACTCTTGTCCGATCCTGGTGAAATACCGATCGTGTTTCGAAATGTTGACCTGAATATTAGTTCCCAAAAAAGCGGATGGCTTGATATTTAATACAGAGAAAAACAAAAAAACTCTTTCACACTCAATTTCTTAACGCCCTGTGACAAAAGTGAGTGATTAAACTCAGCTTCTTTATGTTTTGGAATGAAGTGTGATCCCGTCTCAACACAATGGTTTTTTATTGACGTCTATATCTTCTTTTTAAGAGAAGCAAGATACAAGTGTTTCGATTTCGATTCGAAAAAAAACATCTAAAATTTGATATAACTAATTCTTACACAAATTTTGTAGCACTTATCAGCAGAGAAGAACCTCGATTACTGAAAACAAACAAAAAGCAGACCTAGATGTAGTCAACTACGAGTATGCCCTCCTCGAGATTGAATTACACCATTCAACCTCCGTGGCATCGAGTTGACCAATTTCTCAAGCAGTCTTGTGAAATTTCCTTCTTTTTTTCTTTGAAGAGCGATTCATAGCTCTTGGAAAGTCTCTGAAAAGGCCGGACGAAGGCTAATGACCCTTTGGAATTCATCCCAAAGATGCACTGGTTCCAAACTTTTTTAAAACACTTGTATAATATCTTGAATGAAAAATTATTGTGAGCAAGAGATCATACTTCAATCCAAAACATGATGAAGCTAAATTTAAACACTCATCTTGTGGATGTTAGGGGTGAAAGAGTGGTTGACCCTGTATGAAGATCAAGCCACCAGCTTTTTTAATAATTGAACAATGTTCTAAAATTGTTGTATCCGCGTCATTCGGTTGCCCTCTTTTACGAGCAACCCTCAAAAGTCTCCAATAGACTTTTGCGAGCAAGGAATGACCATCTTGGACCATCAGAAAAATGTCTGCAGTAGCAGTAGTTTGGATTCGAACCGACGACCGGCAAGTCATCGCGATTAGAAAACTGACTACGGTCGAAATTCCACCAGAATAAGACAAGAAGTGTACTTTCTGAGATTTTAAATAGTGATTTTGTCCCAACTCTCATATTTTATTTCTCGTGATTTTCTTCACTCAAGAATTTAAAAAAGGCAGAGAAAAAAAATTTTCAATGAACCCCTTTGAATTGGCAATTGGTATAATCAGTTTGTTGTCTGTCTAATAGCTACCTGATTATGTAAATGTAAAACAATATCTACTCATTCTTTGAATCTTCTTCCTATCCAGTTACCAATCGTATTACTTTCACATTTGTGTATTTGAATTATGCATATTTATGAAAAATGTCAAGGTAGTCAATTTTTCGAATAGGAAATGGTACACAGGTGGTATGGTATATTTCAACTCTGCAACTTTTGACTTCGATTTTTCAGATAAGATCATAGGGCACTTTACTTCTGATCATGTAAAGTGATGTCACGCTATAAATCATCCTTGTAAATAATCAAGGACATCATCTAAATTTTACTGGTGGGTTGTGGGTATTTCAGATGAGTAGGTGGGTTGTTTAATCAAATTAATATCATAATTCATCCACAAGGTTGCCAGAAAGCACACGAGCAGAATCGTAAATAAAACAGAGAATTTGAATTTCAAGATTGTACATCGGCGATAGTGACTAGAACGGAAGTAGATATTTACCATTGCAAATTGCCTCATTATTGTATAGTATGAAATTGAAAATACCTATTACTGTATTTATTTATATTCGATTATTCATAGAGTGCTCAATATGTATGGTACTCGGTATGGTACATAATATATTAGAATATGCCATTTGATTTTTCATTGATTCATTAAAAATACTCATCGAATACAGAATATATTTGGGATTTTGTTCACCGTATACATCTTCATACAATCAATCAGATGAAAAATTGCATCTGGTATATCTCCTATTTTTGGTTCGACTATGAGTCCACTGATATTGGTGAAAAATTGTGCCTTCATAAGGAGTAATTTTATCCAAAGGAAAGGAATTAGTGTGGTTTCATCAGTAAAACGATAACGATGAGAATCATATCGCTTACGCGTAATATATCAATCGACGCTATCGTGGAAAAAATTCAAGTTGTCGGTTTCTCTGTGTTTTTGGGGAATATGAATCTGAAGTTCGGAAACAAAATTTCTTGGAGTGCCACGAGATATTCGCAAAAAACAGCGAAATTTTCGCACTCATCGAGAAGACCACCCTATAGAAAGTGGAAGTAGATACAATTTTCTATAAACAGGGTGATTCAGGTTTTAAGGTTCAAATTGAAATGAGTGATAGATCTCATAATTTTAATCTGAAAAGTATGTATAAAAATGTGTCCGATCGCGATTAGTAGCTGAGATACAAGGGGTCAAAGTTTGATTATGTTATTCTATTAATTGAAATATCTCGCTCACTTCTGAAGATATCAATATGTAATTTGGTGTGGTCAATACTTCCTAGAAGATCATCATTTGAAGCATTTCAAAGATTCTTAAAATCCACAGGGGCATACGTTCTACATGCTGTAGAACTACTAGTAATAACAAGGAAGTTCAAAATGAAGTGCATTATTTTATTTTTATTCACACCCCAATGAAGTATTCGCTAACTTCGTTAACATCATGAGGAGAATTGAAACTGTTTTTATTTTACTCCCGTGGTTTATATACTATTTTAATAATCTAGAAAATAATGAAATACAGTAGTCACTCTCGTACTCGTAGCGGCACTCGAATCTAGTTTCAAAATATCTACTTGAAAGTGTTGCTATTTCGTTTGAGAAAAATGACAGTATTGATTTTTAATCCCTGAGGGATTGAAAGTGCAACTTTAGTCCTCCAAATAAAGGGTTAATACTACAAATTTATTTCTTGTTAATATCGTCTTCCAGGGATCCTGGACATAAACGAAGTAATTCAGGAGACCAATTCCTGATGACATTGGTTTTGTAGGAAATTGAAGTACCTATGTGATTTGATCATCAAACCTCTCCAACCTTCCTTTCGAAATATTCAATTCAGATTTTCCCAAATTGAAACTATCATATACCATTACACATAATCATTATAATATTTGGAGGTGTATCTATCACTCGTTTATTTGAAAAGTTGTTATTTTTTATCTACTGTCAAATCAGTTTCATTGGTTCCATTCATTTCTTCCACTTCTATATAGTGCAACAGGCTAATCTGTTCATCGATGTAGGTATATACAAGTTGGAATTATTAGGTGCTTGATATTAAATTTTACATTTAATTGAGAATGCACCAGTTTCTATTTCCTATTTTGAAGTAAACTAGTGCAGTTTCATTGCAAAATAGTCTAGCTCAAATTTGGTACGAAACCAGTTTTACCAATTGAATTTTGTTAATTGCACAGAAAAGTGCATTTATCACCGAGCTGCGCTTCCTCCACCTTCCGGAAATGTTCAGTTTGGCAAAACTCGCCAAATAAAATAACTCACCCTGTATAACCAGAACGGCACATACCACCACCAGAGATACCACTACTTTCAACGACCACATGTTTAGCGCACTGGTGAAATGAAGACGATCCGTCATGTCTCTCAACCATATTAAGATTTGCTCAAGGTCTTTTCTTCCACTATCTGTATACCTACTCTATAATACATTATATGCGCCGATCCATTACGTAAGTTACATAACATGTTATTGAAAACCCTCATCAACAGCAAACGCCGAATCGGTTAATATTGGAGATTGATTTTCACCTTCCACCTCCGATTTCTACGGAACCGTAGAAGTACCGGGAGTTCTGTTTCAACCTTGGTTTCAACAGTTCCAAAATTCTGACTTTTCCTCGAAATTTCGGATATCATTCGATTCAATAATGAAATATGATCACGATGACATAAACATATTCCTAAAAAAAGCAATTGAAATATTGAGGTCGGTAATCAGAAAATCATCCTTCACGTAAATTTACACTATGTTCTCTGCGATTAGCCCTGTATATCATAAGCAATTTCTATCGATTCTCAAAGTATTGACGATTAACTCTTGAACATCCTGTATATGTTTGCATTTCATCAAGAAATTTCACCTTTTTGTGACTATTTCATTCATTTTAGAATTCTCACATTATCTGACCAATCACAAGCCAGAGACAATTTGTATTATCGCGAAAACAGTAGCTGTCATAATAATAATGTTGCCGTATGCTGGGTTTATAGATTCAATTAAATTAACAATTAAGAATTACCAACTAACAATCAACAATTAATAATCATGATATTAATTAAGAACTAGATATGTGAAATGTCTTTTAATTAAAGATCAAAATGATGTTGAAAAATGATTTTGGTTTCCACAATTCATGAATCCATGAAAAATAATCCAATTAAATATCACCAAACTCCACTTGAACAAAAACAAATCGTATCTTCATGTTCTGTCTCCAAAATTTTATAATTCTTAGTTGTTAAGTTGAAAGTTGGCTAATTTCTTATACAGTTTACTTGAATCTATAAACCCAGCACTCCCAGCAGTACAGCAATAACACTCGTCCTGACGGACTCGTGGTGTTCAAGGCCGTACCCAGGATTTTTTTCGGTGGGGGGGAGGTGCAAGAAAAAAACTGCTAATTCAACTTTTTTTCTCTTATTTGTGCACCAAGGTAGTAAAAAATATCAGTATTACCCAGGGACCAAGATTATACCTATAGGCTTCAGCCGAGACTACCAAGGTGTATATTAAATTTTTTTCACCACTAGCAATACATTTCAATCATTTTAGTTCTGTGAAACTGAAATATAAACCTATATTGTCACTATAAAAGCACTTCTTTTCAATTCTAATTAAAATCTAGTAGCCCATGACCATGACAGCATATTATGACAATGTCGTTATTGATAAATACCTACTACATTCGAGTGCCATTCCTGCGAATGTCGCATAGGAACAGTGAATTCTGGATAATTATAACAGAGGTGCCTATATGTCTTATTGACTTGTGGTTCATAAAATAACGAGAACTATCTTGGTAGTAAAACACACTTTACGCCTCGAAAAGGAGTAAATAATGCCCAGCGAGCACAAACATCCCTGGGATGTTTTGAAAATGTTGGCATGAAGATGTTATTTTGAGACGTAATATGCACTGACCAAAGAGGTCTCTGAAGGATATTGAAGTATTGTTTTTGTTCTTCTGTGGCATTTCTTTGTTTGCCTACTGAGAGGTATCCCTGGGATGTTTTAGAAATGTAGGCACGAGGATGTTTTTTTGAGGCGTAATATGCACTTCCCAAAGAGGTCTTAGAAGGATATTGAAAGTATTGTTTTTGTTCTTTTGTGTCCATTCTTACGTCACAATACGAGGAATTCTGATTTGTTTTCGATTTTGTTCTTCTTGTCGCAATTGGCATTCGCGTTTGCAGCGTGTCACGCTTACATCACGCTGCTAACGAACAGAACGGAATTTGGTGAAGTTTATTGTGTTAGAAGACTTATTTAGTTTGTAATAATGACCATCAGATGCAAGATGTGTTGTTCGGTGCCTCAGTGTAATCAATATATAAGAGTACGAATATATCAATACACAGCTTCTCCGCAGTTGCAAAATTATGCATTGTGGAGAACATTTCAAAAATTGGGAAACCTATTTCCAATTATATGTCTGTGTGTAGTAAGCACTACTCAGAACCGATTAAGAAGGTGATTTCATATCAAGAAAATATTTTCATGTTCAATCTATTTTTACTGCATTTTTTCATTCAAGGGAAATGGAATCCTAATGCAAAAGTTCATTTTGACAAAAGGCTTCAGAAAAGTACCTCGAAAATGGTTTTTTTACAGCGATTTAATGTGCGCAAGACACGTTGAAAATGTTTTGTTGTGTCCATGAAAAGGCTTTAAAAAGAACTAGGGAGAAGGTAGTTTTGTGACATATCAAAGACATCTCGATAATTGCCGCCTGCGGCGGACATTTGCTGTTCTATAATAGTTCTATTCATATGTGAACAGAACATCGCAGTGGAGGTTCAATGTCTCGAAATCTCGTACTTTTAACATCTCTGAGATGTTTTTGTGCTCGCTGGGTGGTAGGGTTTATAGCTAGTTGTGAAAAAAATTGGATTTAGGCCTTCATTTCGGGGGGTTCGAACCCCCGTTCCCATCCCCCTGGGCACGGCCTTGGTAAGCGACAAAATTATGAGCCAATTGAAAAGAGAAAATTTATGGAATCGATGTTACTTGATAACAAAATAGGAAATTACAGGGTGTAGAAGCTTGATCACTCCATTTTTCAAAAGTGTTTGTGATTTGGCATGAGATAATGCATATTTTCAACACAAAGAACGCCGATATCGAGTCATGCGAGAAGTGTATCTAATTTAGAGGCTAGATGACTTCACGAACAAATTTCAAAAAGTCCATAATCCGTAATAATATTTCAAACAGCACATATTTTACGAATATTCTGACAACGTTCAGAGAGAATGTATTTTGTGACATCTCAAAGATATCTTTATAAACGCCGTCTGCGGCGGACATTGGCTGTTCTATAGAAGTTCTATTCATGTGTGAACATGACATCGCTGTGGAGGTTCAATGTCTCGACATCTCGTACTTTTGACATCTCTGAGATGTTTTTGTGTTCGCTGAGAATAATATCCGAGATTTCTGAGGAACATTTTTCGTGGAAGTATACATAGAAAAATGAACGGTTACCGACTTTACAGAGCACAATGTCAATTCGATAATGAAATGTGGAGAATGTTGCTTAATATTGTTTTACGAATATAGCTCGTCACATCGTCCACAATTCTATTTCATTTCGTTCATTTCAGATCTTATTGGTTGAGATTTGAGAGGGATAAATATCATGTGACCACTATAATCTTGTCATAATAATGCTAGGCAGAATGGTGATATAATGAAACAAAAAATGTACGTTTACTTGTATATTTTGCATAATACATTCATAGTACAAAAACTATCATTTTATATACTTTTCATCACCACATCAATTCGGTAAGGCACAATCAATGGTAAATACAGCAAGAAACATAATACACTGAATAAATTATCTAATTATAACATCTAAGTACAGGTTCGAGATTGAAAAATTCGTTATTCTGGTAAAATCTAAACACTAGGTTGTGAGCAAATCATAAAAAACAAAGGCGTTGTTTCTTTAAGGAAAAATCGTAGTTGAAGGTACTCTTATGATAGATATTTTGAGCTTGAATCCTGAATACATACATAGAAAAATATATACAAATAGCTATTCGCGATTTCACGACGTGCAAAGGTAATTTAAAATTCGAGTAAAACAAATCACAGCACAATCTAAACATAGGTAGGTAAGTACCTACCCTTACTACATGGTACTTCATTAGACTGTGCGACATCTAAAATAATATTCAGAAATTACATCTAAAGAGATACTGACATGGGTATTTACCTATGTGTGAATAAGGAACATGTTATAGTACTTCTAAAGCTAATGATAAAAAATATATAAATTCTGATTTCCCTTTCTTCAGTTCTGTGATATTTCTCGTAGTACGTTTAAGATACAATACATTCAATCAAAACATAGCGATAAGTCCATTCTTTGGCCTATATATAACCGACATTTTGATTGCCAACATTACAGTAGACAAAATGAGTATTCTAAAATTTAAAAAATTAAAAATGACAGAGGTAAAGTGAATAGTTCAGAATGAGATTACTTGAATGATTTCATAAATCGCATGCCTGATACTATTACCTTCTTGAGAAAAAATAGAGGAAGAAGAAGGAAGAATAAGAAGAAAAAACGGAATAAATAAAAAATCAAGATCAAAAAAATACTGCCACGGGCGTAACAACGGTTTTTTGCTGGGATGTGCCGAGCCCAGATTTTAACAGATAGAAGAGAATTATTGAAACATGAGTAATGAGAGAATGCACTGCAGGCGAAATTCTTTGATTTGTAGTCATTTGAAAGTTTTTCGACGGGTATGGGCAGCTGTACAGATTGATGCATTACACGTGCCAAAAAACGGAAATGTCCTATTTCATGCCAAAACGATAGATTAACAAAAAGTTTTTTTTTGAAGTCCCAGGTAACACATCATATTGGCTGACTCCTAATTTCATATTGGTTCAATATATAAGTGCATATTGGAAAAATAATCTGTTGATTTGATTAAGTAGTAAGATATTGGCTCAAGCTATCCCAAATTATTTTCATAATGAAATGTGCAAAATGTTGCTTACTATAGTTCTAGGAACAAAATAATAATAAAAAATTCAAGTTAGGCCAATATTCGAAACATTGTTTGTTGTTAGTGACATTAGAATATCATTTGTCCAATGTTAAATCTAGAAGTGAAAAAAAAATTGTATATGTATACATCAATATTTCTCCAACGATATTCAGTCATATAAAAGTATTCAACTACATTGGAAAATATCTAATTTGCCCGTCTCCAACGAATGATTGTTCAGAGAAATACTGTCACACACATCTATTACATAAAATATGCTCAAGTGATATTGTACCATATTGATGAATGATTACTTCGTGATTGGGGCTAGGGTTTGCAATCCCGAAATACCGATACCGAAAATCCCGGGGTCCTGGTTTTGTTTTTATACCGATATCCCGGGCACATCCAACTGGATCCTGGGTTTTTCGGGATTAGTTTTGACCAATAAGACTTCGCTATCGTCAAGTGAATCAGATTATTATTCGAAATTCTTGAAAAAAAGTAATTATGGACATACTCGTGAGTCATATAAAACGTTTCTTAATAGTTTCAGAGGCAATAATTGATGAACAAGATGATGAGAAAGATAGAATTCCTTTCGCGAGTCAAGCGTCATCGAGTGTGACACTGACTCAACCTCTACACAATAAGATATCATCAAATTAAACAAAGGAAATAACCTTTTTCGAAAATGGTGACAACAAAGGTACATATCTTTTAACAACTATAACACCCGGTAGTGTAGAATATGAAAGAGTATTTTCCGAAGCTGGTACCATTTGCACAAAAATCAGCACTCGACTCGCATCATTTACGAGTGGATTTTTGTACCCTTCTGGTTCAGTCAACACTGTGAGTAATGAATGGTCCGCCTTTTTTCTCTTTACTTTTTGATGTATAGATTACATTTTTCCAATTTTTTTTTTTTTCATATACGAGTATTTATGTAATCATTAAGTATCTAGAGTATACCCTATACTTTCTTCAGACTCTAATCCCGATACCGATATCCCGGGTTCTTATCAATTTGATCCCGGAACCCCGAGATTGTATTATCACTATGGGATTGCAAACCCTAATTGAGGCCAATTACTTCGAGATTCACCAACATTGCTTTCGAAATATTGCACCAATGTTTTCGAGGCCAAAATCGGTCTGAGAATATTTTGCCAATATTCGTCTAGAAATATTTTACAAATATAGCTATGATGAAGTGACATTAATTTGATTTCCAATATATCACCAATAAAGCTGAGTAATATCTTGCCAATATACCAGGATTGATATACCAATAACGCCTAATGTTCACATTTTATTTCTAGGCAATATTACTTCCACAATATTTATCCAATATTTGCCTCATAATGGATCAATATTGTCCCAACATGTGTGCTACTAGGGTATATTGAAATGAATATAGACAAAACCGATTTATCAGAGTACAACCTTGTTCGCAATAAGTGATGCACCGTGGTGGGTCGGCATCATCCACGCCCCTTCCTTTGCTACGCCCTCAAATACCGGAACACAATAAATAATATACCTAATATTTATATAGATCACAAAATATCTTCGTAAAATGTCCTTTAAAAGGAAAATATTTTCTCGATAGTACACTGATGACGTGTTACACGAAATATGGCTAGAATAATGAGATTCGTACATCACTACACTTTTTATACAGCACAGCCTTTTTTAATGCCATAGAGGACCTTGAGTTCCGGGAAAATTATCTTCTTGATCAACTGATTTGTTTTGGCAGCCAGCATCGATCGTCGAGGGTCTTTCTTGTACACCTTGATGCCTGGCTTGTGGACTAGGAATGCGTTGTCCAAGATGAGAAAGTCATAGTTCAACACGCATAGTGCATACCCCTGAAAAAATGAAAATTGTCAGTCTGCATAGTTTTGGTAGGGACTTTGCAATCGAAAATAATCCAATTTTTTTTCGACAACTTATATAATTTTTCAATATCAGTCATTCATGTGCGACTAAGCAAGGTGTAACGGTGTAAGTCATACTTTCTCTAACGAGAAATTTGAATTTTTAGAGAATTCATGCAAGTTGTTCAATTATTCAGCAGTAGATGTTTCGAAAAGTCAAGTCATAGAATCATATGTTTTCAGCATAGTTTTTTTTTCTCTATATTACATCAATTTCAGATTGATAATATTTGGGGACAAAAATGATATAGCTATACTTATTCATATAGGAACAATGCAACAATAAGTTATATTATTTTTTTGGAAATACTCGATGAGGCGTAAATGATATATGCATGACTTTACTAATGAGTAAAATCATTGGAAAACAAGATAACCAGATAAGCGAGATCAAAGAATTCACTTTCATTGTATTCTTCTCAATGGAGACAACAAACACTGCTTCCTGTTCAGATGAAGATCGCCTGAAGCCATGTAAAGTTGATGTACAATATATGAGATGGCGGCATTATCTGGGCACTTTCCTTTCATATTTTGTGTGTTTTGCATACATTTAATTCCTGCTATTTAATCATGTTAATTGTGTTAATTCTCGAAGTTATCACAGAAATAACTAATATCATTGTTGAATCATCATTACATCGTGTATGTGATCGAAATAATACTGTCTTACGGATAGTATTACAGCTACAAAGAAGCCTTTCATCAAACCTGATGTGACATTCTGTAGGATGTCAAAATCACCCAACAATTCCAATTATCGATCAATTAGAAGGAATCTGATATATTTGCGATGACGATGGCGATGGACAATCTCAGCACAAAAATTGACTAAACAATGTGCTAACCTGTCTACTGACGCATGTTCACATTTCACTCAGCTCGCGACCCAACTTATTGTCCCTCAGATCCATTATACATATGTCCATACCAAGTGCAGGAGATATCGTCCTAGCATTTTGCATTTAATATGACCACAACATGCTTATAGCTGCAGCCTACCTACGGTCTCGCATTTTTTTCATGTCAGGAAGAGAAATTTATCTGATAAAAAAATGGTCTTGTGTTTTTACTGTTGATAAATAAACAAATTAGCGGCGCATGAAACAATGTAGACTTTGATGAAGATGCAATTACGAAGAGTACGCACTTTCCCCATCAAAATCAAACCTTATTCACCGAATTCCGGAGTGAAATGCTATCTTTTGTGGACTGCACTCACCTGAGTCATTTTATCGCTCTTCCCCTCCCAACTCAGCCGTTCGTCGTATAGCGGATCCGCGTGCGTCCCGATGAAAATCGGCTCCCAATGCACGAACCTGCCGCTTCTTTTTCCCACGTGGAACACGTGCAGCCCGGCCGTCTCGTTCGCCGTCTGCCACTCTTTGGCCTTGGGCACGCTGTGGCAGCCCGGGCAGAGCTTCTTGTGGAAGGGCAGCGCCGTGCCGTTGCTCAGCATGTCTTTCAAAGCTGTCTTCGAATCAGGGACTGGCTGGTTGGCGGTCACTTCGAACAGGTGCAGCGGATACACCTGGGGAATACGTTAGGGTGAGCACATGCTCCCGACACAGATAAGAACGATGGGCAAATATGAAGTTTAGGTCATGGTGCCTTTGGCAGGTTACAGGTAGCAAAGGTGTTGAAAATGCCAACTTACTTTTTTCAAATTATAGTGATTTTTTTATATTTTGTTTGGGATAATATTAGATGATTTGGAACTTAATTCACGTTAAAGTATTAAAGCTGAATTTTATTCATTACTTAGCCACACGATTCTGATGGTGCTAACCCCTGGTTAGACAAACATACAGTGCTTTCGTTAAGTACTGAATAAATTAATTCTTTCTGATGAATCTCCTGAAATAGATCGACTTTTCATTTCAATATGCCACATTTATAGAGGAAAATTAGATATACAGGGTGATCCACACTGGCTACTGAAGAAACATCTTCAAACTGCGACCGCGAGATTGTGGGTTCGATTACCAGCCAGAGCAAGGAACTCTTTTCAATATCTGATATACGATTGAATATTTTAAAGTTTCGGTACATCGGCTGGGGAAAGTCCTGCACGATTCACTGTTGCGTTCAAATTACCAGTGCTGCTCCTAAAGTGGCGCATGGAATTAGTAACAAAGCCTGCACAGAACATACAGGGAAAAGTAATGATGTGGTTATGAGCATCAGAGAAGAAGTAGGATATGGTGTTTGTATGTGGGTGTGGGCCACGTCTATAAATATAACAGGGGTAACGAGGTAGCTGGCAGGCCTGCCTTTGCAGCATATGGTAGTGAGTACATTACTAGCCTACAAAACACAACCAAATTACTGGAGGAACACATCAGAAGAGCTGATGGACGGTAGCTGAGAAGGGTGTTATCCAGCTCTCTTAAGCGAACCACATCACTCATTAACATATTAGGGCTTGCAAGAAGGTCCTATTAGGGACTAGTTGCTGACGTGCAAACGGCCCCCACCTCTACCAGTACCAGTACCCAAGTAATATGTATACGATTCAGCTTTTATACTTTGACGTAAGTTAAGTTACAATTCGTCAAACATTAAGGTTGTCTGGCAAGGGGTAGCCACCATGGTAAGTGTCTGGCAATGGATGACGTGGTTTCTAATATTTTCCCGAAGAAAATATAAAAAATTACAATTTATAATTTGACAAAAGTAAGTAAGTAAGGTATTTTCTAACAACTTTGTTACCTGTAACCAATGAACTCAATGTAGTTGTTTACATTGAATTCAATGCCTGTAACCTGCCAAAGGCACCATGACCTCAACTTCATGTTTGCCCATCGTTCTTGCCTGTGTTGGGAGCAAGCGCTGAGAAACTTCCAGCTTTTATAAAATAACGAAGGTCTGGCATTCAGGGGATTCTGCTCTATCAGTAGTGCTGCCAGCTCAGCCCACTTTATTACTAGTTCTAGCCATTTTTGAACACATCTAGCTACTAAAAATTGCATCTAGCCATACAGCCTTTTTTTCTAGCTATCTTTTATTCTGAATTTCTATAAAAATATTTTCATTGTTGTGAAGTTCCCATATATACCTAGTTCATTTTATTCACGATCTAATATAGTCAAATTCAAGCCAATGGATTCAATTCTCTTTGCTTTGTGTCATTTTGACAAATTGACGCTGACATCAATGACGTCAACACATTACGTCATACGTCAATGTCAAAAATATTGAATAAAAATTAATTTTTGATGTCAGATTCGTAGTTCATGGTCAGATTTATTGTTTTTGCTAGAAAAATTGCAAAAAATTTGCTAAAAAATGTTAAAAAATTTTCGTCTGCGGCTTGCTTTTTTGTTTAGCCAATTTTCAACAGTCATCTAGCCGCTTTAAAAATTGGCTGTTGGCAACCCTGTCTATGAGATCCTTACTTTTGGATTTTTGCTGAGCATCGGCCCCCCGTTCTCTGCGACCATTGTCAGGAACTTCTCGATGATGTCGGGACTGGGGTACAGTTCGATGTCCGACGGCAATATGAAGTGCGTCTGCGCAGTCTCTCGTGCCACGTTTCTGCCCACGTTCACCGGATAGAGCAGCTTCTTTTGCGCCTTGTACATCGCCTCGCTGGAGACGTTGGAGTAAGGGGGCGGCAGGGAGCAGTTGTAGGAGTCTTTGTAAACGGTGCCGGGCTTAGGAACCTGAAAAAATATCTCTCTGGTATTGCCTAACACTAGTCCAATCCAGATATCAAGGCGATACGAATGATTTTTGATGACCAGACAAGAAGATCAGAGTCCTATACATTTTATTACCAAATATATTGGTATAATTCATCCGATTTGAAAGAGAATGTCATTTCTCAAATTTAGATTTTCATTTTCATATCCTCCTCTTGGTGTTCAACAGATATGTAAAAACTTCACATACGATGATCACAAAATTCTTAATCAGGTGAAATACTGGTACAATGAAATAACGGTACACCGTATTTTAATGTAGATATTGTGCCTATTTTCCAAAAATGGAGGTTTTTCTGCAACCGACACAAAAGTCGTCCATTTTGATACCAAAATTAGCTCTTAAATTGACGTTTCTATTACTGACACAAAAATCGGTATGTTGCTAGGCAACATATTTAGTTCCTAGGAGCTAAAGTTGAATTTTAGTTTCTAGGAGCCAAAGTAGAACTTTAGCTCCTAGGAACTAAAAAGGATGTACTGGACATCATCAAGAATAAACAACATTGTGACGGTTGGTTATTTGGGTTGAGACGCATACCTGATTTGTTTCCGATTTCAGCAGATTTGGCATTTCATACCCATGCTGGAGATATAAATACACCTTATTATAGTTTAGTATTGGAATTATAAACATCTCAGTTGAGTATTTTTGTTTTGATCAGGGAAGCCTTCAAGATTCAAATATTTGCTTGATCTGTATTTCATTCGTTATTCTCCGGATGGATAACTTATTGTTTTTGAATAATCACGGCAAGCAATAGTTTTTTTGTCTCAAACAACGATATTGTTTAGCTTCATTCGATTATCAAGTCAAACTCGGCTTCGCTAAACGCTCCGCCTCGCAAATGCAAAATTCGCTTGTCAACCAAAGAGTCACTTTTGATCCTAATAAAACAATCTACTATTATTGAACCTTTCCGCAGGTCATTCTAATCCCTCAGGTTCGAAAAGTAGGATATACAGGGTGATTAATGGTGGATGGCACGTTAGAAGTTTCTGGAGAAAATCGAAATGTTTCATCTTCAAGCATTTTTGTGTCGGAAATATAGATAGTTGATCGAAACGGTTGCCATGTCCCTATCTTAACTTTTCATGTACTACCAATTGATATTCAATTGAAATAAATACAGGGTGGTTTAGAATTAAGATTTTTGAAACGGGTCGAAGAATCGGCCCCTTGAATATTAGCATATTATTAAGGAACACCCTGTATATTTTATCTGAAAGAGAATGCAAATTCCCAACTTCAGCATATTTTGTTTTCAAATTCGTATCGTGTGTATTCAATAGATTTAATTCAATGGTCGTCGTGGCATATACAGGGTGTCCCGTATAGACCACGTCAAACCTAGGGAGAATTTAGATCAAAGAATAACCCACCTGCTATGACAAAATTCCCATCATGAAAGTCTTACTGTTTTCGAGATATTTTTTTTTTGGGAAATATTGAATTTTCGCCCATTTCAATTGTATGCTTGGTACAATTTTACACATTTTTGGTTCATTTTTTCAGTAAATATTGCTGAAGAATGATTTTAACGTATACATTGAAAACATTCTCCGAAAATTTTGAAGGAGGGCTGTGAGAATATTTTTATTGAAATCTTCGGTTGTGGATATTTTCAAAAAAGAAAATAAACTCGAAAACGGTAAGACTTTTATAATGGGAAGATCTACATTCTCCCTAGGTTTGACGTGGTCTTTAGTTGTTTTCTATTGAGTAGACCAATAAAGAATTCATATTTTTATCACATAGAGAATGCAAATTATCAATGTATTTCTTTAAATGTATCAATTTTTTTCATGTTCATAATATATCTGAGAATATTTCGTTTCAATAAAAAGGATGTTTTCGTTCAAGAGGTTATATGGAGAGATGAAACTTAGCAGGATCATATAGACTTGGTAGACCGTAACTTCGCCTGAAATCAGTTTTTCTAGAGAAACCGTTTCCAATTAAAAAGTGGAAATATTGAAATTTGCTACAAGAAAACTTCAAAACATTGTTTTCATTGAAATTATGTTACAGGGTTGATCTGATTTTTTCGCACCATCTATACGGATTATCATATTTGTAGTATGTTGAACGATGGAATCTTTTTTTGTCAAATTTCATGAATACTCAGCGTTGCCGTTTTAGTACTAGATCTAGTACTTTATTTGTTAGTTGGCCAAAAACTTCATTATGTCCCGGAACAATGAAAAATTTATTTTACAGATTTAGAATCTTGTATGGAAACACCCTTTGGAGGGAAGTGTATGAACTTAGGCGTTCGTAGAGTTAGGTATTAACAGAAAAAACATAATATTAATTCATATTCTCTTCCAGGATATTCCAGGAATGAGGTCAAATATCACAGATTTCAGAATTTTCGAACTTGCTTTTGGCAGAATCGCTATTTCATTTGTAGGACACTCAACTTTGGAAAATGCTACATCTGTGAACGCCTTACTAGATAGATGAATGCAATATGAGGATCTTCTAGAAGATTAGTTTTCATCAACATTAAATTTCTCATTCTTCAAGTACAGATCATGATTCAATTCTTTTTCGAACATTTCTTTGTATTAATAACAGCTTGTGTTGAGTTTTTAAATATTAAATCGAACAGTAGAAAGATTATTAACATACTGTATGTTGTATATGGAATCACGACAGGTTCCCTACTACAAATAAATGATCGACTCGTTCGCTACAAAATACAACAAGGAACAAATAAAATCTTCACCAAGAATACATTTCGGTTTCGAATTGAAAAGTAAGTGTCAGTTTCTATGAAGGAAAAGACAGTTAGATGCAAGATTAAGTGTCGCCGTATATTCAAACCAAACAATAAATCCGAGTGATTACTTCCTCCTACCATAAGTGAAACGACCTTAGAAAACCAAGAATGTCATAATGCTATTTAGGATTATCTTCACTCCATCTATTTGGAGTTATTTTACATCCACACCTATTCTAGTAAATGTCAACTACCTGCTGAGGTTACATTTTCAATTTTATTGCTCGAGAACTATAGAATGTGATGTAAGTAAATTTTAATGTAATGGTACTTAAGGTCTGAATTATCTCGTAAAATGTAATATTTGAATGTACAGGAAGTTCTATTTATCTTGTTTTTTATGTCAGAATCCTTATAGTCTCTACAATAACCTATTGTCTACCTTGATCTATCGTTCATTTGAATGATCTGTTTGTCAAACACCAAATGGTCATATATGTACATACAGAATACACACTGTATGGATAGGTACAGGGTGATTCACCTGTCCCCCCCTCTAGCTCACTTATTTTTGAACCGATTTGAAAATTTGAAAAATCATCTTAAATGATTTTTCAGAAATTTTTGTATGATGCATCAGAAAATACAGGGTGCTCGGAACAAACGATCTACAGAGTAGTACTTGATTTTTTCGAATGGAACACCCTTTATTTCATCGTATTTCTAGATTCTCCCTGAAGAGCTGATTTCATCAATATATCACACTTGGGGTCTAGCAGGAATGATTACAGAGATATAGGGTGTTCAAAATCGAGATTTTTCAACTTAAGGATTTTTTTGTGTCGAAACTATTCATTATTGGTCAAAACGGCCTCAATTTCTATCTCAACTTTTGATTTACTATCTACTGACATTTAATTGGAACATATACTGTGTGGTTGAAGATTCAGAATTCTGATCACCATGTAAAATTAGAGTTTCTTGCTGGGGTTATTCGATTTCTGACTATGGTTAGTTAGTAGAGGAACAATGACGGCTAAATGGACTGTCTGACGAGTACCCGCCAGACAGTCCATTTAGCCGTCATTGGTAGGAATTTTCCTCAGTGTAGGTTTCAAATAAACTATCCGATATTATGGTACTGTACTCCACGAACTCACCTCTTTGGGCACGTGCTTGGTGCTGAAGTACACATGGAATGTGACCAGCTCCCTGACCAGGGGCGAGGCGCAGTCCCTTAGATAGGCGATGGAGTCCAAGGTGTTGGCGAAGTCGCTACCAGGGGCGTGCAGCGCGATGCTGACGGGGCCGCGCCACCGCTCCAGCAGCGGCACCAGGTTGTCCATGAAGGAGTAGTCGGCGTGCGTGGTGTACGTGATGCTCTCGTGGCACCTGGTGGTGGAATAAGGGATTTTTAGTAGCGAGCCTTCGTACTCAAATCTAGTACGCAATTGTAATAGATCGTACTAGATTCGACATGTGATGAAAAAATACAGAGAAGTGCACAAAAACGGTCAGGATTGTAACTTTTGAATTATTCTAGATAGGGTTTTGAAAATTGGTGAGTAGCAAGTATACCAAATTTCTCATTAATTGATAAAACAATTTTTCTTCTATCAATTCCAGTTTCACCGGAAACGACCATAACTTTCGATGTTCAAATGGGACACTCTGTCGTATTGTATTTCATAATCGGTTAGGGATTATCATGACGAATTTAACGATACCGGGTTTGATAGGGTTATTTCCATATATAGAAGTGAGCGATAATTTTTTTTGTCGGTTACTCGACCGAAAAGATACATATAATAATGAAGATGATGGAAAGCCCTAATTTCGAGTGACAAAAATGAAAAAACTCCACCGCCCCGCGTGAGAGTCGAACTCACAACCTTTGGGTTAAAAAGTGAATTTTTATACAGTGAGCACGTTAAAGTTGGACCATATTCATCAAAAGTTTGATATGTGAATTGTGAAAAAAAGCTCAGACACTTCAATTGCCTTTTTCAGATGCGAATTCGTTTGTCTACTCATATTCTTGATGACATCATCATCGGTATTTGCGTACCAAGCAAGTTGTGAATAGCATCCCAACGCAAAATAAGGCGTTCAGTGTAGTGAAATCAGGGTTGCGATGAGGAATACAATAAAATGTACTAGATTGCGACGTGAAATTGTAATAGATGACAGTAGATAGTAATAGATTGAAAAGTGCCGAAATAGAAAAAATATATAGTTGAGCATACCTATGTTCACTCTTTATCACGAATCAACCTGTATATTCTTTATATGGCCCAACAAATCCGTCTTCAGTAAATATAATTGACCGGTCCGAGTATTTTTAAAAAGTGAAAGATAAACATTAGTTATCAAATGTATGCATTACTTCAAGCATTCACTGTCACACAATAGTTATTTTTGTATCTAGAGCGCGAAATGCTACTTTGGTGATCGAGATCTGATTTTTTTGACGAGGCGTAGCCGAGTTAAAAAAATAGTCGAGATGACCAAAGTATTTCGCGCTCGAGTTGCAAACAAAATTTTTTCTACAAACGCCAAAGAAGAAGTTCAAAGTAAAAATATGCTTAGCTTGATATAAAAAATAGTGTTGAACTGGCTTAAAAGGCCTCCCCCTATCCTCCCTAGATACGCACGATGTTCCACGATCATAATAGGAATTGTCTTTCGTGCGCTCCAAGAGATAAAACAAAATTATTGTTGAACATTCAGAAATAAATGATTTAGTGGCTGTTTGCTCGATCGAGTACCATAAAGTAGAAATATAAATATCTCATATATTTTACCTAACAATGCGCGAAGTAGGTACTTCGCGCACTGTTTTACTTCGCGCATTGTTTTGTGCGAGGTTTCATGGTAACGTAGGAAACTGAAAAAAAGTGTCACTTCGCAATTTGTTATCGATGCGCGAACCTTGTCATTTTTTGACGTTTGTAGAAAAAAATTATTATTATCATATATGCTGATGCAGTTCGTCTTCAAAGTTTTGTACGAACTCTCAATACGGAAATTATAGACGTGATTTGTCAATACATGGTGAGTCGTTTGATAGAAGTAGCGTCTTTTTGTTTTTTGTTTTTTTTTTGTAGAATATCTATCCAACTTTTAAGAACCGATGATTTCACAATAAACATAAAGTAGTGAAGTTTAGAAAGTGAAATCTAACTGCCAACCGAGAAAAAAAAGGTGGAATGGATAACTATGTGTTTGTATACGAACCTGTAAGTATTTTCAGCACTAACGTAATTGTACAGGACCCAATAGTCACCGCGCTGTTGGGTCTTTGGCACCAAAGGTCTGTCCAAGCATTTAGTAATATTTTTGACCCTTTCTAATACTGAGGGTGGTTCCCTGGGAGCATCAGTTGAAACCTGAAATATATAACCTATACATAATACCCCTATATACAGATAAGATAAGATTTCAATCATAACCGTTACCAATAAAATAGGTGTTTATAATTTTCTTTCAAGATTGTCAATGCCGTCGATCTTCAGTTTCCGATATCCGTTTGTTTTCTAAATCTAGATAGACCGCCAAATATAGATCTATACGTTTATGTTTCGAAATATTTGTAGAAATCAAATCTATGCTAGGAGATTTTATTACTGCAAACATAGATTTCAACCACGCCACAGGAACCAAAGCTGAGCAACTGTCTTGTTCGTCATCTATACCTATAGCACCTATACTTCAAAGTTTATTGTGAAAATTTGTGGATTTGAGATTTTCAAAAACACGATGTTCTTTGAACATTATAGGGATTTCCTTGAGTATTTCCCCAGAATCATGAATCAATAAAAATTAATCAATATAGAACAAAATTATTGAGAGAGCTTCTGCAGAACATTACTTCAAAATCACATTTTTCATTACATATATGTACACTCTCTGATATCTTTCCTGAAAATCAGATTCTTTTGAAGATACGCTTTATTGATATCGTGATAACACCCCGAAAATCTGAAAGAGAAAAATGACAGGGCACCCATGAAAATATCGCTAAATCCTACGATATTGAAAATTTCGAGAAACATTTTGATGAGGAAACATCGACTTGGATGTGCATTTTTTTCCGCCTATACAATCAAGGCCATTGAAAATTTTGTATCAATATCTCTCACTACCTGTACTATCGAAAGATTTTCGAGTACACTGGGAAGGAAAATAATTGCTTCAAAATCAAAATCTTCGGCAAAAATGGTAAAAGAAGACTGCAATTGGTTCAAGTCATGGTTCATGAATATTATCAACATTTTGTGCCCCCTGCATATTTTCCTGGCGGCACCCATGTACAGAATGTTTATTCATGATATGTGGGACGCACGTGATAGGACGTGAAGAAAAAATTGAAAAAAAAAACATCATGATATGTCCAGAACTTTCTTTTTCCGGGGTTGACGGTATTACATACATTGCAACTAGACTGACAAAACAAAGTTGGGGTATGAGAATTATCTCAATGTAGCCGAAATACATAAAAAATGTATTTTTTCAACCATTAGTCACATCAAATTTATTCAAATTTTAATATGTCTGAATCCAAACATATTACATTTGATTTCAACGTAAGATGTTTCATATAAAGTGAACATGTTTAGATTTCTGAACAGCTAGGTTTACATTCATTCCATGGGTGACTGACCTGGTTTATTATTTTTTGGCAAAAATACGAGATCTATGAGAACGGCAACATCCAACATTAAATTTTTCTAGGGAATGGAAATGTAAATATCATTCAACAAGGATCAATAATAAGCATAAATAAACGATTCTAACGGGTCTATACTATACGTACAAATTCCAAAGAATGTTCGCATTTGCGAATAGGTTACTAGGTATAACAGTTTTTTCTCGAGAGATATGCTCAATATATATTTCCAATGATCTCTGACAGTAGATTATTGTGTAGACTATATTCGCAAAAATTGACTATAAATCAGCTTCAAATTCATAATATTGAGAGGGATATTTGTATGATACTATGTTATCTCATCATACAGGGTGTTTCATAATATACCTATAGGACGCACTTCGAGAGGTGATAGGGCGTCTCAAGAATATGAAAAAGTTACCAAAAACAAAGGTCGTAATGGGCTTCGTTAGCGAGATACAGAGCGTTAATGTTGAAAATATTAATAAAATGTTCTTATGTCCGCCCTGTATGGCTTATCATGGTGGCAAAATTCAGTCTGTTATGTGACTGGCATAGTGCCGCAATTCCCAATCATGGAGCAAGTTGAAAAATCATTCAGCTATATCTCCGTAGCCGTTTCAAAAAACCCCATCAAACTTGGTATAGTTGGATTTGTAATCATAATCAGTAGCCGATCATGAAATAAAATACAGTGTGTTCCCTTTGTAAATTGAAAGCGATCGAAAGTTGATGCCTGTTCCGCTTCAAGGTTTCAACTTTGGGATATGATATTTACAGAAAAAGGTGTCCTCAATTCATTCAACGACTTCGGAGATAAGGGGGTGACAACTTTCAGCTGGGACACACTGTACATATATTTGTATATTTCAGCGCCATGATAATCAATTAAAATATAGAATACTCTTGTAACAGCAAATTATTTTTCCATCAAAACATTACTGTGGATCTCATAAATAGTACAGTAGTATATATGACCATCAAGAATTATTATTCACAATGTAACACATTGGCCTAACTTAGGCAGAAAGATTGTTCAGAAAGGTCCATATAGGCATCCACAGAACAAAACAAAATTTGTTTTTAATACTTAATCACATTTTGTTATAGATACGTTCTTGTTGGAAATAATCCTTTTATTTTGGTTAATTAAGTAGTTAGGTATTGGGTTGATTCTGACCTGTTTTTGTTGTTGAAGCCTTATTGTTAATATAGAGAAAGTGTTTTGCTGTATAAAACAAAAAAAAATCAACCTCTAGATTATCAGTGATGGTATGTATAGGTAATGAGGATACCCTCAGAAGGTCAACTTATAATCAAATCATCATCAAAGTGCATAATTCAATATTACATAAGTTTGCAATTTTGAAATTGTATACTGTTTTTGTCGATTTGCAATCAAAACAACAAAAGATTTTCTTGATAACAATTTTACGTAACGGCTATCTCTAGAACATCGCTATATTCTCTTGAGATTCGAATCTCCCGTAAAATAATTTGAGAATACAAATGCCATTAAATGAGAATCAATTATGACGACTTTGTGTGCTGTAAGTTGTTTCTAGACAAATTATGAAAAACTGTTCGAAAAACTCCATATGGTAGATTGCTGTCACCCATAATCAACACATGTAACCACTTTGTCACACGCTACAGAGTGGCACTGGTATAACTATACTGACATTACTCGGAGAACTAGATCCTATAACTAAGAGATTAAGGAAGAATAGATGTATGATCTCGAGCCTACCAGGCCTCATCAGCTGCTCTCGGTTAGCTACAATGCTTCGGGAATATAATACCTTCGAAGACGGCAGTCTTAGTTGAAATCTATCAATTTGGCAATATATTCTCAGTTACTTTATCTATAGAAGATATACTCGAACACTGTTTTTCTCTGGGTTCATATATAATTCAGCAATCGATATAATATCATATTCTCTATGAACTTTCAACAATGAAAATGCTGAAATACGTAGAATTTTATTTGTAGAGAGACGTTTCGAAAGATGGATGCCATATCTGTCTTTTCTTTCCCCTTCCCTAGAGAACCAGGCACCCTTTCAAGAATTTCAAATGGGAATATAGACCGCAAGGTCGAAAATTTTATGAACTGAAAAAAATTATAGTAGAATGAAACTCATTGAAAAAGGAAGAGTATACAGAGTGTTCCGTTGGGAATCGGAAATATTTTAACGGTGGATAGAGGTGACCAAGGTGGTTCTAAATATACCATATATGTTGGGTCCGACATGTTTTATTATCGAGACATAGGGTGTTTTATCAATTCTGGTCATTTCTTTGAAGGCTCATAGCATACGAACCACCTGGTATATTTTTTTGATATTTGGTAGACGTGCTGCTACCCCACTGCTACTCCAGCGACATGAATATCCGTCAAAATAAAATCCAGGCCCGAATTAACAAAAATTCAACATATCATTGGAAACTCGAAAGAACACCCTGAATGTTTGAATTTACAAAATCTGCCAACATATCTAAAGAGAGCACAAAATGTTGAATGGATTTGTGTTCTTTTTATATTTCCACATGCTATTTTACTACTGAATTTCTGAAGCTGCAATGAAGGATTTGTGAATTTCAATAGCTTAATACGGAATATTTTCAGTTCTTCATATCGATTTATGAAAATTTCGCAATTTTATAACTCATTTCATCTCATTTAATAGTCGTTGTCTGCATTTTTATGCCTGTGGAACGGGACAGTGTATATTCACAGGTCTTTACTTTTATGTACCTATTTATTTGTTTGAGACATATTTCCATGCACCCTGTACTACGGTTCGTTCATAAATTATCAAAAAGTATTATTATTATTATCTATCTAATGAATTGGGTGTTCTATAAGGTGTGTATGTGCAATGATGAAATAGATCTCACGTAATGCAACATAATTTGTTCTGTATATACTGAAAGAGGAGAATATCCTAATGGATGAAAGAATATAGTAGATTGGGAATTCATTTCCGAATCGGAGTTTTTTTCGAGAAATAGCATAACTTTCCAGGATTATGATGAAGGAAATCATCTGTGTGATCATCAGTTCGATCACCCTGTTTTGATGTGTGGCTGAGTCTTATGCTCCAATTTCTTATGGGGAATATAACCGTGGAAGCCTTCTTGTGAAATGTTTCAAAAAGGAAACACACTATAACCTCACAAAACATTGTAATCAACCGATGAAATTGAAAAACAATTCAGAGCAAAAACCTTTGATGAACTCCAAAGTTGCATGAATGAAAAAAAAATCATATCATAATGATACGGACTTTAATAATGACACTGTTTATTGAATTCGTATGTAAACTCCTGGAATACAATATTTCAGATGTGATTAGTCAAAGATAAAGTTGTTGTTCGGGAATTATTCGGCTAGAATGATGACGTGTAACTGATAAATCATTAAGGTGGTGAATCATGCATCGGATAACGGTGACCACGCAGTATTGTATTAGATTTCATCGCGTACAGTCGATCTGATTGATTTGAAAAAATAACTTATATTGTTTACACGTGGAAATCAAAATGTATGGTGTCATTGAGTAATAATTATAGTGCAATATTTGTGTGTGAATGAGTGAGTTCTGGTGGAATTTTCCGACAATGAAAAGACTGGGATGTCTTGTGTTGATGTGGTTCTTTTTAGACATGGTGAGTGATGTTTTCATTATTTTCTTTTTATTCCTATACGGAGTG